CTAGTGAATTGCTTCACTTATCTCGGGAGTCGCATCACGGCCAGTGGCGGTGTTGAGATTTCACAGTGCATTGCAAAATCCCCCTCGCTTTCACCAAACTGAAGCATTTATGGCGTCGTCGTGACGTCAGTCTCAAGCTCAAGGGCAGAGTGTACAATGCTTCCGTCCGTACGGTCCTGCTGTACGGCTATGAGACCTGGCCTGTTCGCTCGGAAGACATGAGACGACTGTCAACCGTCGTCTACGATGGATGGTTCGTGTTTGGTGGCAACATCACATAAGCAATACGGAGGTTCCTGAACGAGCGCTTGGAGCGAACAGCTCCAGCTTTCAAGACGTTATTATCCGACACCGCAGGCGTTGGCTCGGCCACGTACTGCATATACTAGCCTAACGCCTTTTCCGGTGAGCTTTATTTGCGCTTCCCGGAAACGATTGGAAAATTTATCGCGTCAGACAACCAATGACGTGTAAAGAAAGCATGAAGTAAGCAACCTCAAACTTAGCTTCAGTCGGATCGGTTCGCCTTCCATATTGGAGACCACGTGACTCGGAATTCCTGTGATTGTAAACACTGATTGTTATGTCACGTAACAGACATCAGTGGCACCAGTGTTGTGCCGTTTTATTAATCTCAAGTATATATTTAGGTATATAGAGAAAGCAAAAAAGCGTGTGTTACCTAAAAAGAACTGTTTTATTGTTTTCTTTTGTACGCCTATTGTCTTCTATTTTGCCATGGTCTTGATGGCACAGTGTCCATATATAGACTTGTGCATATATACATATATATATATATACCATTTTCACTTTAAACTGGACATTTTGCAAACCAAAGTGAACATTTTGCAAACCAAACTGGACATTTTGCAAACCACATTGGACATTTTGCAAACCACATTGGACATTTTGCAAACCAAACTGGACATTTTGCAAAACAAATTGGACACGTTGCAATCTAAGTAGCAACTGGCCAATTTGTTGGTAAGAAACGAGCAGTAAGACTGCTGAATGATGTTCAGCATACATTGTGATGACGCTAATACACTGGCATTGTGTAAGCAGCGGGCTACACTGTAAAACATTTGCTTGATCGTGAGCAGCGACCGAAGTTCTGAACTACGCTCCCCTCTCCCCATTGACATTCGCCTAGTTGGTGTACAGTGCCCACACGCATCAACCTGTGTTGGTATGTGACAATTGGAAAATCGGACTTCCGAATCGTAATTGTGTATCAATCCTTTTGTGAGTGGATTGCAATGCGCAATCTCAATGTGCACCGTTATTCTCATTAGAGAGAACCTTGTCCGATTCGGTCAATGGGACCATGTCGGATGAAGCAGGTAGGCGGTGTCCCAGCTTCGCCCGTCTCTCTATTAGCATTCGCAACTGCCACGTTATTGTATCAGCGTAGGCTGTAATGACCCCCAGCAAAACCAGTCTAGATCTATAGCCTATTGTTGCAACATATCAACTACTGAGGAGTGGGCCGATTACACGATGTTCAGGCCACATTGTGGTCACGATAATGTAACCGAACTGCGTACCTAGCGTGTGATTGTGTAAGCCCTTCTCTTGACATGAGTGCCGTTCGCCTCGGTCAAAATCGGTGACCTATTTTCCCCTACACCCCCCATAGGAATTCGTGTATTTTGTCTGTGTGTGTGGACCGACCTATGCAACGGTACCACTATTGGAGCCGAGCATACGATAATGGTTCCACTCAACCCAACATAGCTTTATTAGCTCCGTGCCGCACGAAACGACCAAAATGAGTGACGAACAACAGGAGAGCTGGTGTCCGACGCGACGGCACTGTAGGCGAACATCTTTTGCGCAAAGAGAAATTCTCACAAAACTTGTGCTGGTCGACGGCAAAACTACTCGGGAAGCCGCTGAAGTCACCAGTGTTAACGCGAGTACGGCAAGAAATATCATTAATGCCTACAAGCAAGAAGGCTCAAATACACAGCGCACCTGCGCTGGAAACAATAGGGAGAAGCTCACTCCCAATGTATTGCAGCGCGTCGAAAAGCGGTTGAACGGCACTCTGAGGACACGTTGGTGCAGCTGCAGATGCGCTTGAGAGAGAGTGGGATAAACCTATCAGTATCCTCTGTCTCCAACACCCTCAGAAGACTAAAGATAAATCACAAAAAGTGTCATTACGAGCTCGACCGAGTCAACGGTGCCACGACAATCGCTGGCCGACAAGCGTACGCTCTCGAGTTCTCGGCACATGCACCTTCGAACTAAAAGGAATGCATCTTCATAGATGAGAGTGGTTTCAACCTTCATCTGAGGCAAACTCAGGCTCGCTCAAGAAAATGGAGGCGCGCGAACGTCGTGTGCCCACAGTCAGAGGTCGCATAGTAACACTGATTGTTGCAATGAATAACCAAGGCGTCATCCATTCAAAATCATTAACGATGGCACCTGCAATGATGCGTAGTTCTCAGCTTTCGTCGAGGAACTGGTGGCGCGTATAAGCTGCATAGTGGAGATGAACGGCGCGTGGCTGATCATGGACAATGCCAGGATCCATATGCCTGATGAGCTAAGGAGGATCCTTGGTTCGTCTTATCACCTGCAGTTCTTGCCGCCCTACTCGTACATGCTAAACCCGGTAGAACACGTCTTTTCAAAGGTGAAAGCGTCGGCGAGACGCCAGCTTATTACCCCACACCTGAGCAGACACTGAGCACGGTCATTCAGGACAGCGTTGGGATGGTAACGCAGCAGGACTGCATGAACTGCGTTCTCAATACAATGATGAACCTGACGACAGCCGGACAACCCTTCGTCAACTGATCTTTGCTATGGTTACTGCCTTACTTTTTGTTACTACACCATTTCAATTTCAAAATGTGCGTTTTCAATATTAACAGTTGGCTTAGCGTGTAAGAGCAGGACGGTCACCGAGAATTCGAGAGCGTACGCCTGTCTGCTAGCGATTGTCGTGGCACCGTTGACTCGGTCGAGCTCGTAATGATACTTTTTGAGAGTTATCTTTAGTCTTCTGAGGGTGTTGGAGACAGAGGATACTGATAGGTTTATCCCACTCTCTCTCAAGCGCATCTGCAGCTGCACCAACGTGTCCTCAGAGTGCCGTTCAACCGCTTCTTCGACACGCTGCAATACATTGGGAGTCAGCTTCTCCAGCGCAGGTGCGCTGTGTATTTGAGCCTTCTTGCTTGTAGGCATTAATGATGTTCCTTGCCGTACTCGCGTTAACACCGGCGACTTCAGCGGCTTCCCGAGTAGTTTTGCCGTCGACCAGCACAAGTTTTGTGAGAATTTCTCTTTGCGCAAATGATGTTCGCCTGCAGTGCCGTCGCGTCAGACACCAGCTCTCCTGTTGTTCGTCACTCATTTTGGTCGTTTCGTGCGGCACGGAGCTAATAAAGCTATGTTGGGTTGAGTGGAACCATTATCGTATGCTCGGCTCCAATAGTGGTACCGTTGCATAGGTCGGTCCACACACACAGACAAAATACACGAATTCCTATGGGGGGTGTAGGGGAAAATAGGTCACCGATTTTGACCGAGGCGAACGGCACTCATGTCAAGAGAAGGGCTTACACAATCACACGCTAGGTACGCAGTTCGGTTACATTATCGTGACCACAATGTGGCCTGAACATCGTGTAATCGGCCCACTCCTCAGTAGTTGATATGTTGCAACAATAGGCTATAGATCTAGACTGGTTTTGCTGGGGGTCATTACAGCCTACGCTGATACAATAACGTGGCAGTTGCGAATGCTAATAGAGAGACGGGCGAAGCTGGGACACCGCCTACCTGCTTCATCCGACATGGTCCCATTGACCGAATCGGACAAGGTTCTCTCTAATGAGAATAACGGTGCACATTGAGATTGCGCATTGCAATCCACTCACAAAAGGATTGATACACAATTACGATTCGGAAGTCCGATTTTCCAATTGTCACATACCAACACAGGTTGATGCGTGTGGGCACTGCACACCAACTAGGCGAATGTCAATGGGGAGAGGGGAGCGTAGTTCAGAACTTCGGTCGCTGCTCACGATCAAGCAAATGTTTTACAGTGTAGCCCGCTGCTTACACAATGCCGGTGTATTAGCGTCATCACAATGTATGCTGAACATCATTCAGCAGTCTTACTGCTCGTTTCTTACCAACAAATTGGCCAGTTGCTACTTAGATTGCAACGTGTCCAATTTGTTTTGCAAAATGTCCAGTTTGGTTTGCAAAATGTCCAATGTGGTTTGCAAAATGTCCAATGTGGGTTGCAAAATGTCCAATGTGGTTTGCAAAATGTCCAATGTGGTTTGCAAAATGTCCAGTTTGGTTTGCAAAATGTCCAGTTTAAAGTGAAATTGCTATATATATATATATATATATATATATATATATATATATATATATATATATATATATATATATATATATAGAACATGAATTTTATGGCACTGAGCTTTCATTGGAAGGACTCGCGCAGTTTCATTTCTGACTCATGAATTTTGTTAGCAAGCTGGACACTACAGATCATTGTTGCACATCATCTATCTCTCAGTTGAGGCTGAATAGTGAACTTGCCTGTCATGATGACTTCGCTTAATGATGCTACTCAACGAACACCTCACAGAATCCGTATGGTTCAGGAGTTGTATTTCACAGACTTTTAAGGTTTCCTTCATCTCATTGCCATTGCAATGCCGGTTTTTCCTCTCCCCATTTTTCCTTTGCCTCTATGCTGCTCTTCAACCCAATTCATTTGCACTGCGCGTGAATCCCAGCTCATGCGCGGGCAGTGATTCCCGATTGACAGACAGGACTCAACGCACAAGCTTTCTTTCTTTCATACTTTGTTAACTAATGCTCCTTTTATTATCTTCCACCATTTTTCATTGCTTTCCTTCCTTTTGCTTATTAGAAATCTTTACCGCAGATGGTACAATTCGCTCAACTGTTGTTGCTTTTCTACGTCTTATTACACATCTCTTTTAGCGCTCATAATGGACGAGCACGGTTCATCCGAAACAAGGGTCGATAGCAAACCTCCAGTGTGTATCATTGTACTTGGAATGGCTGGCTCAGGAAAAACCACATTCGTGAATCGTCTGCTCACATTTTTGGGCTCCATTCAGAAGTCAGTTTACGCGATTAATCTGGACCCGGCTGTTCACCATGTGCCTTATCCCATCAACATTGGTATGCTAAACATTCCTCTACGCTTCTGACACTTGGTAAGATATACGTGATACCGTGAAATACAAGGACGTCATGAAACAATATGGTTTCGGACCAAACGGAGCTATAATGACTTCCTTGAACTTCTTCGCGTCCCGTTTTCACAAAGTTATCAGCTTAATCAATGAAAATGCTGCTAAGGTTTCTTATGTCGTTCTCGATACACCAGGTCAAATTGAAGTGTTCACATGGTCCGCCTCAGGAACCATAATTTCTGAATCTCTCGTAAGCTTCTATTTGTTTTTTAAACCTTGCTTTTTCCTAGGGCGCATCTTTTCCAACATTGGTTATCTACGTGATGGATACCCCACGGAGCCACAATCCAGTCACCTTTATGTCGAACATGCTGTATGCATGTAGCGTACTTTACCGCATGCGACTGCCATTTATCGTAGTTTTGAACAAGGTATGCTGCTTCGTGCACACTTTTTCTTAGCAAGGTTTTTTGTTTTCCTTCCTATTTCGCTAGTTTCTCTTGCTCCTGAAACTGTGCGACGTTACACTTTTGTAACAGTTGTGCAAGTCTATTTTTATTTGATTGGTACAAAATTTAACTGCTGTGTATAGCGATTTAGGAGGACACCGATTAATGTGAACCAGACGATATTCGTGTCGCCGGTCTCCTGTCATTGTGCACCGTCAGTAGTGTGTTAAAACTATGAACAACTTTTCTTTTAATAGGTTCATTCTGTTCCGCAATTTTGCTTCACTCAGGTCGTTATTGTGGCTTTATCCACTAACCCCAAAGCTAGTGTCCAGATAAAAGTAAAATCTCTTAGGTAAGCCCATGATTTTAACAGGAAAAAGATTTGGGCCGTTGGTGTACATCCGAAGCATCAAGTCGTTTCAGGAACTTTCGTGTCTACCACATAACGCGTGCACGTGCCATCACATTGGCTTGCGGAACTGAACCATCAAATTGACCTAAATATCCTCATTTTATACTATTTGTTCTCATTTTCGGTAGCTACTCCTCTAATGCGCATTCGCTTCTAGTCTTTGATTCCTGATTTTCTGGGATTAGGAGATTGCGGTGAATGCATAGGTGGTATATATGGCGCTGGTACTGAGACTGCCATTTTACAAAGGCGTCCAATCGACTGGATGGTCTGGTTCAGTTGAGTAGCTGTTGCAGCAGACGTCATGCATGTTTTTTTTATTGCACATTAGCTGAAGATGAGTAACACAGTTAAGCTGCTGTGCCGCAATACAAATATTAAACTATAAGAGCAAACGAGATTCGAAAAAATGGTAGAAAAATGGTAACAAACTGCTGTGTAACACCTTATCCTTCGAGATAGAGATTGTGGTTGGAGGGGGATGATAAGCGGAAAGGGGAAGCGGCAAAGAAACTCACAGCACAAACGCCATTGTGGTCGGCATCTTACTATCTCAACTAGCGTATTCGACCAGAGGTGTTCATCGTCGTCTGTTTCCTAGCCCGGCTATCGGGAGACACCAACCGACGCCAAGTTCGAAGTGAGGGCCTACGTTCCTTTTGACTAAGTCATCGCTTGGCCTCTCTCATCTCTCATCCACACCTCCGGCGCGCAAACAACGCATGACGCGGGAGGCGGTGTGCTAGCATGCGCAACATGTGGCCCAGCCATCGGAGCCTAGTGCATGATGTCACGATGCTGAGTGGTTTACTCGCTCTTCCTGAACCAGGTACAAAATGCCTAACAAGCTCATTACTCACACAGTGCTCCCACCAGACATGAGCAGCGGTGATCGAAAGTAAGTATATTCTCTTTACCTGTCAACTTGATGGGCCAAGTTTCACAACCACACAGGAGGGTTGAACCGCCGGCTTCATTGTAAACTCGGCGTTCCATGGAGATAGTAATGTCGCGCCGGCATCACAGATGGTGGAGATTAGTGGAAGCGCCTTCGTATTCCGGTATAGTGTTCGTGACCTCATCTTCAATTCCGAGGGCGCTAATATAGCTGCCCAGATACTTGAATTTCTGGACAGCGTTTCGCTGATCATCGCCAATGGTCAGCGCGTGGCGTGTCCCTGGTAATCTTACAGAAAGACTCCATTCCGACGATGCAAAGCATCGCAATACTAATTTGTCCAGTGTTATTTGATGTGTGCTGGCGAGCAAACAGCAATGAGCCTTGGTCGACGTGCTTGTTCGGCCGCAATGGACGAAGCAGAAACATCTGTTTATGTTACTATCAATCGTCAATCGGCCGTATCCTAAAGTTAACGGGCTTCTCTTCTAATCTTGCGGCTCGGGTTGGAGTCCGCGTAACAGCAGGGTGACCCTCACAGTATTTTTAACCCACGTGCGACCGGTGGCAGTTGTGCGGCAGATAAGCCTCAGTAATGTGTACCGGCCTACTGCCGATGTCTCAATCACTGGATATCCGAGAGGTCAGTGGACCTGTTGAAATTCAAATGGGACCTCTCGACTGGTCCTCTGCACCATATATATATATATATATATATATATATATATATATATATTATCGCTATACGTCTTGTATCCTCAATCTGGTTGACAGTATCTCCTGCGGAGCCGTATTACAGTCCTCCGCTGTTCTACCTTATTGTGACTTGAATAAGCCTGACGCAGAACTCTTTCAAGCACTGTGGAGAAACAACCGCGGTGTGAATACCTTGACCATACTTTCAGGTCTGTTTGTAACATTCCTAGGTTGCTACATAAAACACCTACAATTATTAGAGATGAATTTATGCTCTGATTAATCCGCAGCCAGCAAAAAGCATCAAGTTCCTCCATTTTTTATTCATAAATGTACTAAAACCCATTGTTTGTGGCTGTTAATTCTGTTCGTTTTCTTCAGCTACCTACTCCATAACATTTTACACCAGAAGATGTGGGCAGAAACTGCGGTGGCTGTTAGCCGCGTGCAGTAGACTCATAGCCGATCGGCGTTTTTATGTGCCTTCTTATCGGGCGCAGCGAAATCCGAATCCGCATGTCCCGGTTCAGCTCCAACTTGCATCCGATGCCTTGCTCGTGTATGAGTTGCTTATTTTAATTAGGTTGTCCGGGGCGCACCCCACGCCTGTTGGCTTCGCGTTAGTGGTCTTGAGGCGTTTATTTTTTCATTTGATGCCTTATCTATCAACAAACATGGTTGCGAATGGATATCCCCGTATCGGCTACCCATACTTGCTTTGAGCCTGTGGTAACTAAGAGGGTAATTGTCTCACAACAAAGCACCACGCTTTACTAACTGGTGACAATGTTCCACTCGAGTGTGAATGAAAATGATCAATTTTCTGACCCCAATCTCTTGAACTTTTACTTTTTCAGACGGACATAATCGATTGTAGTTTCGCCATCGAGTGGATGCGCGACTTCGAGTCGTTTCAAGAGGCACTCGCTGGACATCGATCAGCAGATTGTGCTGCTGAGCTGGAAGCAGATGGCAGTAGTGCCTACCCCGGCACGTCACAATACATGATGGGCCTAGTGAACTCAATGTCACTCGTACTGGACGAATTTTATAGTGGACTTCGATGCTGCGGCGTATCATCCATCACTGGTGAAGGAATGGAACAACTGCTTCTAGAAGTGGATCGGGCCACTGTCGAATACCATGAGGTACGGGAACGAAATATACAATAATTACGTTCTCTCTCGTTTTTCCACTGTTGTTGCTTCATTTCGTGTTTTTATAATTTCGCTGGAGTCGTTCTTTATGGTGTAACTGGCAACATCCGCGCCGGGGGTGCGGTTGGAAGAGGAGGGCCAAGCGATAACTTGGTCTAGAGGAATGAACACTCACTTCGAAACTGGCGTCGGTTGGTGCATCCTGACTGCTTGGCTGGAGTCCTAAAGACGATGAACATGTTGGACACACTTGCTGATATAGCGTTTGTCTTTTGAGTTTCTTTGTCCGTCCCCTACCTTTAGGTTCCCCCTCCAATCCAGATCTCATGCAAAACGCATAATATAATATTTAACCTCATATTTTTTGTAGTGTAATTTTTTCCTCTCTTATCTTTTTATATTGCGGCACCTTAACTGAGGTGTGTTTCTCACCCTCAGCTAACGTGTACTGATGATAATGAGGATGATCAACATCCGCTAGCACACCGTATGTGGAGACCCCTGCCATGATCGGAGAACAATTCAAAGTCCAACTGCAAGAGCTCTTAATCAGGGTTCCACTTTATAATCACGTCTTTTTACCCACTCGTTTCAAAACTGGTAATAAACCATTTGTGTTGGATATTGTGTTCACCAACGAGATTGTAGACTGTCCGTTTGGTCGCAGTGGTCATGTAGTCATCAGCTTCAACTTCATTTGCTACGCGGATTATCACAATGAAAACTCTGAGATGGTGCGCGCCATTACACGCTACGACTGCTTAGCCCAGCTTCTTAGTGTTACAAGCTAGTCATTTTCCTCCAGTGACCACCCGAAAGTCGCCTGGTTTGAATTCGTCTGCAAATTCAATCAACTAGTTGCGAATGCTTCAGAGACGGGCTAACGATGGACCTAAGTCCGTTCCTTTCGTAAGGCAGAGAACTCGAAAATGGATGTTAGTACGCAACGCAGCATGGTTGGAGTATAGACCGTCTTCAACGCCAGATACTTGAGACAACTACGTAGCCCAACGTAACCAATGTACTCAACATCTCAACGAAAGCATGGCTACATATCAGCAGAACATGCTGAAAATTTTCAGTGCTAATCACGAACCGATGTACAAGCATGCCAATGGCCTTCGCAAGGTGTGACAGGGAACTCCTCCACTCTGAAAGACTGATGGTTCAACAAGAACGGCTATAGAAGCAGCAAACGCGTGGCGGACGCAATACGCTCTCGCATTTTAGAGGGTCTTAAATTTAGGCTACCTTACAGCTTTTGCTGCCCCGCCGCCAGGACTCACATCTTTCACTGCTGAAGCTGTATTGCAGAAGCTGACGTCTTTGCGAAACCTCAGCTCCCCGAGTGTCGATACCAGAAGCACTGGGAACAGCAGCAAGACAACTGGCAGAACCTTTGGCTCAGTTGTTTCAACGCTGCTTAGACCTGAACCAGTTTCCTGCCATGTGATTGCTCGTAATAATAACTCCGATTCACAAAGACCGAAGCAGAACTGAGTCTTTAAACTTCTGCCCAGTATCTCTCCTTGTCATGTCCAAGGTAATGGGATCCATCGTTGTTATCTATAGAATTGTAAGATTACTGCTCCCGAGCAGCACGGTTCTTGTCGACAGCGATCGTGCACAACGAATTTCTTAGTCGCACAGAGTAATTGGACCGAGTCAGCTGATGCTGGGAAGAACATTGACATGATCTACTTGGATTTATCGAAAACATTCGGTCGTTTAGGTCGGATTCTCCTTTCCAAGCTCCAGTATTACGGCATCGGTGACCCTCTTTTGAGCTAGATCGCAAACTTTCTCCTTCAACGGCAATTGGTAGTCCGTGTCCGGAGCTCCTCATCTAGTACTAGTCGTGTGTGGTGTGTCAAGGCTCAGTTCTTGGGCCACGGTTACTTTTGGCATTTATTAATGACTTTCCCTAGACAAGCGCTTCAAATCTCTTGCTTTTGGTTGTTGACATCAAGACTTGGCGCAAGATTCGGGCGGATGTCAATTGGAGTCTGCTTCAGTGTGGCCTAGGTAGGGTACATCAGTGGTCAACCCAAAATCTGCTGTAGTACACGAGAGCAGATGCAAGCTACTTTACATACGACACCTAAGAACCTACTCATGCACGCTTGGATCGCATGTACTGCAGCGACCTGGTCGTTCCCGGTAGTCTGAAAAGGGATCAAAGACTGCTAACCAACGCGGTCTGTTGCGACGGGCGTTCGGATAAATATACATCTCTATTTTCTGACGGATGCTCAGTACGAATATTCACCCCCGTGTCGAATACGCAATTCAAGATTAACAGTCTTGGCTGAAACACGACCCCACTGCGCTGGACCAGCTTCAACGTCGAGCTTCCCTATACGTCATTGGAATGCATAATCTCCCCTACGAGCAAAGACTAAAACCTTTGAGAGTATTCAGCGGACAGTATCGTCGGTCGCGAAACGACGTGTTAATCGCATACTTGATTTCACACAATCCAAATCATGTGTGCCGCTCTTGACTACAACTCAGCAGTAACACAAACGGAGGTCACCCCTTGAAACTATCAGTAAAGTACAGCCGTCTGGAGTGCCGTATAAATTTCTTTTCTATCCCCGTGTATCAATCATGGAATGCCCCCCGAATCGGTCGTCTCTGCACCTACAATAGCCATATTTAAAGTCGGTTGGGTGACGCATTCTGTCATACTTCCTGGATTTGTCGCCCATCGGATCTGTGTAACTATGCGGAGGACAGGGCTGCTGCATTAAAAACTATAAGTCCACCATTTTGACCGTATTAGTATTAATTGCCACCTCTGATGGTCACATCACTGAGAAAGTTACTTCGCGTATCAGCAGCGCCCGTGGGACTTTCCAGAGACTCAACCATCTATAGAGACGGCGGGATATCAGCCTGTCAATGAAATGTAGGGCGTATAAAGCTGTAATAAGACCGGTCTTATTGTATGCTTCAAAGACGCGGCCGGTTGGCGGCGAAGATTTTAAACGCTTGGCTGTGTTTGACCACCGGTACTTGCGGAGTATTGCCCACTTCTGCTGGGAACACCGGGTGAGCAATGCTGAGGTCCGCCAGTTGATTTTTGGCAAGAAGCCTTCTGGTGCCTCACTCGATGGTTTGTTGAATCTTAATCACTTTCGTTGGCCAGGCCATGTCCTCCGTCTACCCGATGACCGACTTCATTGGCGTGCAGTATACGCCGTGAATGCATCAAGCCGGGTGAATCCGCTAGGTGGCCAGTTCATGTCGTGGCATAGTGGCATGAAGAAATTGACTGAGAGAGTTTCTCAGGCTGATGCGTGCCGTCTTCGTAGTTAGGGACCTCGCAATGATCCGCCTCAATGGTTAGAGACCGTATCTGACATGGCGTAGTCAGGCAGTCAGTGGCGTTCCTGCATTCGGTTTCTTGAATCTGGGTGTTAATTTTCGTTCCATTCTGGTTAGCCTACTGCACTTTCTTCTTGGGTTTATTTTCTTTACATTCTATTTGCCTTTAACCCCACTCCCTTGCCTTCGTTATTTATTATTGTTCTTGCGATGTGAGTCGTGGCAACTGGATCTACCACATTTCGGTACTCGGATCATAGTTGATCAACTGAACTATACTAATTGCACTTTCTTATTAACGTCTTTCGACCAGACCACCTAACGGAGCTTCTGAAACAGTGCTTCTTTGTATTTCATTCAGTGGTTATATATACTCACAAGTCGCACCAGGTTATCTGAGACGTTGTCTCGGCTTCTAACTACTCTAGAACGTTTACGCAAACTGAAAAGCGTTTTCCAAGTGCGTGTCCTCACTGTTTGGCAGAATGAACGATTGGCAAATATTATGGATCACTCTCGACCGGTAAATCCCCTGATAGGAGAATTCGACGGCGCTTACATTGAAGCCGCCGCATTTGCCATGGTATTCACAAGCCGTAAGGAGTTCAGAGAAAGATGCCAATGTCACTGTGTCGCTCCGCCAACGTTCAACGTACTCTGTTGGCTTTTCTTACGCGATGGTACCAGTGAAAATCAGTCCGACCGACGTCCACACGTGCTCAGCCCACTAAACCTACTGCTAGCGATCAACTGACGGTTACGTGAGCGATTTAAGCAACAAATACTTCAATCAATCTTTAGCGCAGCCGGTCCTTGGCAATCGCTGAGGTTTTTGTCTGCAACCGCTGGTTCGAGCCGCGTTCTCACTAAGTTCGAGTGCCTTTGGAATATCCAAGCTTGCGTACAACCGCTCGTGTTTGCATAGTAGCAAAGCACCCGTACGTAGTTCTGGTGTTCCGCTACTCTAAGCGGGATCTACGGCATGAACAACGAGATCGTAACAATGGGCAGAAAACTGCCAACTTTAGATCTTAGTTCTGCGTTTCGGACAGTTGGCAATCGTTAAGTTTGATTTGTACAACAGACTTCTTGTTTTCTACTGATCTCGGGGACAAGACAGCTGACTTATCAGGAAGTTACTCTTTTGCGTGCACCACTAATTGCTGTGCAGAAATTTGCCACCTTACTAATTCCTTGCTAGTCCGTTACAGTTCAGTCGTCCAACTGAGCGCCGAGCACAAGAGGGTGGCACATTCACAGGCCATGACTCACGTTGCTATGATTCTGGGAAACAACAGGAGCGCACGGATGAGGAGTCAACTGTTACAGATGAAGTACATACAAAAAATGTAAAAATACACTTGTTACCAAGATAAAAGAGCTTGAGCACTCAAGCTTCACTGATTTTGTCACTGCTTCGTATCGGATGAAGTCTGAAACTAGTGATGCTGACTCACATTCAAGAAAAAGTCACACACACACACACAAACCCGAATAAATCTTTGGCTTCTGGATGTAAAATCCATCAGGAAAACCCATTATTTCATTTTGAACAGGATTTGAACTAACACGGTTTAACAAAAGCGTCAAGTCGTTTCTAGAACATTCAGGTCCCTTACGCGTGAAAGTGACTAGCAGGAACAGTGGCTGATGAGCAAGTTGTAATACAGTCTATGTCTAGTTGCTAGACTGTTGCGATTACTTACATACATTCAGGTCTCTTACGCGATGCATTTACCTACCCCCATTGGTCTGGGCGGATGTGAACTACTGATTTTGACAACAGACGTGCTGTTACAGAAGCTGGACATCGTTGGGTTGACTTACAAATAAGTGTTGACGTACAGACTACTTGTGTGGCTTTGGCAGCTGTTTGCTCATCACGCTCTTGGTTGGAATTGGAGTTCATGGGGAACGTGATGGTTTTAAGCCGAATCACTTAGCTGGGGAAAATCTAGCACTCTGTAGGTCTCACACACCCTTTCGCTATAAGTTGGCTGCTCTGCGGCTTCATCCGACTGGAGTGGTGTCTAAAAACCTAACACGCCTGGGGTAGTCGCTCAACATGTATGCGAAGGGTATTGACCAAGCTGACGTGGTTGTATTAAAGCACAGCGAATGGTTCAATGCTGCATCAACGAGCTATGTGCAGCATAAAAAGCCGGAGCGCGTTATTACCTTCGATTCTTGATACTGAGGAACTACTACCCATAACTGAGGGAAGCTCTGAACACTTCATGTTGCTATCAGTGCACTTGGTTGTATGAAGCGCCGCGGTGTTCATCAGAAAACGTGGAACGATGCATGAGGAAGTGATTAAGTACTGCCTCGGGGTAACGATTGACGTCTTTTTGAATGTGGGTTTGGAAACAAGTCATCACTACTTCCGATATCTGTATCCGACTGGTGATCGCGTCTCACATACAACCGACATTCACAACATCGCTATTCCTTTTCGGGACTGCTTGTATTGTTCGCTTGTCGAATGACGGCTGTGTTGTCTACGATGATGGCAATCATCTAGCGTTTCTTATGATTCTCACTGCCTTGAGACTCTTACAGTATGGTTATCAGAGGAGTGATAAGGGTGGTCGGCTTGACTAGCTCATGTTAGGCAGCAACAGACGCGTATTATGAATTCAAGATCACCTCACATTTAGCGAATGGCGTTGTTTGACCACAACTCATAGGCCACCAAAATCTAACCCTGCCATCAACTATCATGTTTTACACATCTGGCCGGGAATGTATTATGCTCACAACAATTGACACAAACATTGGATTATTTTTCTCATCAAAGCGGACACGGCCATAATCTACTGATTCGAGTGTATGCCGTCCCGGCTACGAAAATCCATTCATTCATATGTTTGGGCACCATCGCGGCTGCCTGTTGTTTCATCAAAGCGAAGCGTCCGCATGAAGCGCTGATGTACTTCTGATACCTTTCTTGGACTCCGTTTTGTTATCTATACTCATTGTCCCGATTATGACCACCGAACAGAACGGTGCTCCCTGCTTAAATCGACACTGTGATTATCAGTTACAGATGGCGCATGTCAGTGCAAGATTGTCAGTCGATCTGGATACATATCATGTCTACTGTCTGCTCGTATAGCATTCACTTTATTCGTCCCGGTGAAGCGCACAACTCTCACCGCACCGGGACCTGGTGTATATGGTAAGACTGTTAAATTGAGTTGGGATGTTCGTCACTGAGACAGTTAATGCAGAGACCGGTTTGTAGTCGTTTTCACTGCGTCATTGGGGATATTCTCAAAATCGCTATCTGCGTAACCATGTTCACTTGAATAGTGGATACATTTCCGGGCTTATATCGGCTTGACTGAATCACGAGAGACAGTCTCACGGTGCAGTCAGCTCCAGTTTGTCCGCAACAACAAATGACTCTTGTTATTGCTTTCTGACACACTTTTGCGCCACACTGGATTGTCTGTTGAGCCTGAACGTCCTGCATCGGTTAGTCTGTGTTTTTAGGGATTAGCAATCACCGATTTCGGTGCGCTTTGTTTGCGGTGTGTTCAAACTCCTGGTTGCAGCTCCAAGTTACTACGTGAAAAGTACGAAATTGTTGCTTCTTCCTGTTTGACGTGACGCTGTTGTGAATTCATTGGCATTCCTTCATTCGCCCTATTTTCCTACTGACAGCTTCATATTTAAATAATGTTACCCCTCTTACACTAGACTGTGCGGTTTTATTTTCATTGTCTCGTTTATTTTCCCATTTCGTCCTTTTATTTTCATATATCTATGTCACTATTAACTATTTGCATTCAACGCAGAATTGAGTATATACTGAATTGGCTAGTTTTTGAATTAGCTGCCTTAAGGATGCTCCCTACTGTTCTCGTATTTACTTATTACCAATGCTTTCCTCATAATACTGACACACTGGCCACCCTCCTTTCCTCTCTTGCAGTTTGGCAGTGCTTACGTCAGAAGATACTGAGAAACTATTTTGATAGCTCAGGTTTGGTGTTGTGATCCTTATTTGTCCTGTGAAGTTGAGTACTTCGGCTTGACATCTTTATGGACTTGGCCCCTAGTTACTGACATTCCGCAGTGTTCGGGGATGGAATCTAATAATTGCCAAGCTGCTGCTCACATAATTTTCAGATATTAGTAGTTGACCTTCGCCCTGATTGGTTACCGATCGATGTACTTGGGGATGTCTGACTAATTACCGTTGACCACTGTAGTTTGTTGCCACGTTGGGTCGGTTCCATTGGTGCGAAACTTATGTTAACCATACACGCAGTTGCAGAATCAAGTCCTTTCCTTCCTGTGGTTCCAAACGCAGGCTTTTACTCTGCTTGATTTGTTAGTGGACAGGATGGAAGTCAACCCATATGTTTACTCTACAAGAAAACTGATTTCCGGGTGTCTCCTTTCCTCTTCTTGTTTCTTCATGCATTCGGACCTCTGTTTCAGTCCAATGAAAATTGTGTCCTACATCGGCGTGCGCTAAGTCCAGTGACGATATACAGTGCTTTTGGTGGCAGGTGTCTGTCTTGCCATTTACATCCTTTCTTCATATTTTGCCGTCATCAACATCATCGATTGCCATTTTGTTGGCTCACATTTAGTTTATTTAATTCTCTAATTTCCTCCTATCGTGTGCACCTAGACCTACGCCCAATGGTTGCGGAATCGGCGAAAACACGCAGCTAAAAATGACGGCAATCCAAATGGAGGTAGGTCTATCTTAGAAATCCGCGTTCGGTTCCAGATCGGGCATCAACAATACCACCCAACTTCAGCTCTGCTTGTGTTTTTATCGGTCACTCTCGAGTCTTCATTTTGCGATTTTTCCTGATTGACGAATTGTAAATATGGTTTATGTGAGCGACAAGCTTAGATGTTGCTTTCTTCTCTACCAGGGCCTACAAGTCACCTCCGTTGGTGTCACGTTTGCACAGCGTATACCATCAGAATCTAGATAATTAAATCGTATTCTGCGTTAGCCTTTTTCATTAACGTGTTGGAGTTTGAAGTTAAACAATAAGTCATCTGCATACGGTTTCTTCAACCATTGAAAGCTATTTTCAGCAACAAAGCTCCTACGTTCAGATGTGTGTTACCAGTTTGCTCACAGTTCTGCATATAGTGATCAGACCTCTTTCAGTTAAGCGTTTCTATGGTGTGCAATACTTTTCACCGCTGTTTCTCGTGGAATGCTTCCTATCTTCGATCCTTGTGGACAGATTCTAGTGCTCTGTATGTCTTAACTACGTCCTCGTCGTCTTTTTACTATCGCTCCCGCGTGAACTTTGATTACTTCGTATCCGAAGTGTTTATTTGTAAACTGACAGCCGCCTCAATCCCACGTTCGAATTGCCGGAGTCATTAGCTGAAATTTTTTTGACTGTCACCTGGGATACGGTGTTCTATAACACGTGACCTCCATGCTCAAGATCCCATCTCCTCCCATATACAATCGCGGCGCTAACACAAAACAACGAATTCTTTGATCATCATCCTTTTTTATACTTTGATGCACAACCTGTGGAACCCTAGTGTATGCGCCACCGTTTCGTCGTGCAGTACTTAGCTTTTGTTATGTCGCCTCCCCTTCTTGAACGCATAGGCTGGAATACCATCCACCGTTAATACAAAAAATGCTGGATTAGTTAAATCGTGATGACGGATCTCGAAATTTCTTTCAACACAGTACATCTAGTAAAGCTGTCTTCTATTAACTATTTTTGGTCTGAGACACATTATGCGACCGTTGTTCGGAAGTGAATACCCTTCACACTAACCACCAAAGAATTTTTCGGCAGTATCACGGCAAGGCTTCATTTACCACCTTTGTGCTGATTACGCACGGCTTCTCTTGTGTCATTTGAACCGTCTATCTTCCTTACAACTCTGTACCCTCTCTATCAAGAATTTATTGGAGACTCGAACGCATCTGGCTCAGTAGAGACTGGTTCTGCAAATGTTCCCAGTCTGCTGGGCCATCGGCGCTTCAAAAACACGAAGCGCATGCTCATTGATCTGGCCGGTGATTGCGATGACGTAGATGATGATCCGCTTGCCGAATTGGATGGAACGGAACAGCGAGACGATACGGACAATGAAGATGTCGAAGATGTTATAGACGGTGAGTTTCTCCTAGTTTACTTGATGCTGTGAACCTGGGCATCTCTTTAACAGCTACTTGATATTCTTTATAGGAAGCCTCACGCACAATTAGGAGTTTCCCCGAAGAATCCTGGAGAACAGTAGTCGTCTCCACATACAGTCGCCATTCAGATCTCTGTCGACACCAACGGGATTAGGGCGGTGTTTGCTTCCAAAAGTCGTGCGGAGAAGACTGAATGAGGGCTGGTTATCTCCTTTATCTTAGAAACTGACTTTATCGTTCTACTTACTTTAGCCGCTTTTGGTCCTGTCACTTGCACAGCATTGCTCGCGCGGAATGTTTGCGGGCGAGTACTAGATTCCATTCGTCGGCTCAACAGATATATATATATATATATATATATATATATATATATATATATATATATATATATGGTTGGCGGCATCCGGTTTCGGATTTGCCTGTCACTGTGGCCAGCCACAGGACGCCTGCGCCTACAGAGGGACCATGGGTGGCTTGCGCTGCACCATCCACAGCTCCAACCACATACCCCATATCCAGTGTAAACCCGAAGGAATAAGACCGGGAGGCATGCGGATGGGAACCACGTTTCATCAACGGAGCCGGCCCACACTCCTTGTTATATATATATATATATATATATATATATATATATATATATATATATATATATATATATATATATATATATATAAACAGCCTACGAATAGGCATGGGGGCATCAAAATCCATTGGACTCAAAGTAAGGTACAGATACCGTTAAAAAATACACGGTGGAGTCCATGGTTTTGTCAGAGGGAGAGGTACTACCCGGTTGCCTAAGTCGAAGTAGGATGTTGACTTAGGGGACACCACCCCTAGACTTTGGCCGAATAGCCTGCCCGCAAAGCAGCGGAGCGAATTCAGGGAATCGCGCCCATTGAGAGGCCGTGTCTGATTGTCCACTTCATACGCCTTTCGTTTGTTCATTTGCAAAACAAGGGCCCAATGCTCCCCACAATCTCAGCATTAAGTTACTGGAATACACAGATATGAATGAGTAAGTTTGTGCGTGCGCACAATACTAAGAAAACCATCACTTGTTTTCAGGGTCTAAAGTATCATATCACCGACTGACCGGAGAAATGAATCCACCAATCGCTGAAGTGAATGGGTCCGTTGCCTCGAGATCGGACCTTGACCTTTTGCAACAACTTGCATACCTCTCCGACCGATTGGGAGCCATTCTTACTGTGTTGGTTAACGGTTAGAAGTCAGACGAACACATTCCTCTTGTCCTCAAGAATGGGGTCTGAACGTCAGTGACACCCATTTTTGTGAACCCAACTTATTGTCATATCCCACTGCTTCGTGATGTAGCCTTGGAACCAAAGACTAATCGTTGTGTACCGTTCTCTTGTAGTCTACAACATGAATGATGGCAGCTGCTGTTTCTATTATTGCAGCTGTATTCCCACAGTACTTATTGGATTCCTGTCAGCAACCTCAACAGACCACGCTGTCCTGTTTCCCTGACCGCGTTCAACCTTCCTACCATGTTTCACTTGCATGTACATGGGATAAATTGTGTGTTAACTTGTGCTAAGCCTCTAGAACTGAGTTCCCTAACTCTCACGAGATTGGTGGGCTAATGGACCCCGGCTTGTCCTCTCGCTATGGAGACGTTGATGCGGTGACCACAGGTCAAACTGGATTTTGCGCGGTTCCCAACTCTATGTCTGTATACACGTCCATACGATGTGTCATCGCACTGCTTATGCCCTTTTCTGCCCCCTTTACAATATATTCAAGTCTGAAGTAACCCGGGACGTAATCCTTGTCGTCACTGGCTGCCATAGGCAGCGTCAGACGCCATCAATGGGCATCGCCTAATCGATACATCTCCCTTTTTACTTTACAGAACAATTCCGGCGACAGTGCAACATGATTGCAAAAGCAACAGAACCGTCGCCGAAGGAGTGACAAGTTTCCCCCCCCCCCCACACACACACACAAGCGCCCGTCATTGTGTAATGACATACATTGTACATAATCAGAATAAACTTCCTATCACTGTCGTTCAAGCAATGTTCATGCTCCTAGCACTGTCATGGACAAGCAAGGCGACCACGAAGCTGTATTATTGCATAAATATATCTCAAAAGCACAAATCAGCTAGGCGAACAAGCTTGTTTTCCGTGATTCTCATCAGGTTAGTGCATCACAGCAAATAGGAATCCAATTAACACAGCATTTAAATGCGATAAATCAATGAAGCCAATTGTCTGGTTAATGAGACTACGGCAACATTATAGTAGGGGTTAAGTGCATTGTAGATGAAGAGCCGGAACGAATTCCGTTTGGGCGCATAAGTTTGAGTTGTGGGACCAAATAGCAATCACCACAGTTTCGATAATGAGCGGCCTCGGAGTGCTCGCTTGTAGCGTCAAGATATCTGGTAGTTTGGCTGGAAGGCCTCTCGAAATTTGATTTGTTTATTTGAATTAACGAAGTGCCACAGCACTGCGCTCGCTACTGTCAGACACCGGTGTAGAACCACGCTGGACAATGTTCCCGGACTCTCAGTCAGTCGCATGGACGTCTTCCTAATTTAGCTTGCTCTAAACGGGCAAAAGTGGTATATATGGTTGGCGGCACCCAGTTTCGGAGTTGCCTATCACTGTGACCAGCCACAGGATGCCTGCGCCTACAGAGCGACCATGGACGGCTTGCGCTACACCACCCACAGCTCCAACCACACCCCATATCCAGTGTAAACCCGTAGGAATAAGACCGGAAGGCATGTGGATGGGAGCAAACACAAACACGCTGTATTTGAGGAATCATCCGTACACAAGGCGGTGGCTGGACCGTGGTCCGCTCCACACTGCATGGAACTACTCTACGAGCCTAGCACGGCCACAAGGACCGGGCACCCTGTCCTCTCCATCAATGACCAACTGTCTCCTCAGCCAGTATTAACGAAGTAGTGGGTAATAGACAGGTAGGCACCTTGTCAACATGCACATCAAGCGCAGCCACAACGGGGATGTCGAACAACAGCCAATCACTTGAAATGCCCTTATCAAATAGAATATATCTGTTAAAGTGTACGGCTATGCAGATATGACTTCACTAAATGAGCATAGGACGTAAGGTGATTACCAAAAATTTAACGAAGTAGTGGGTAATAGACAGGTAGGCACCTTGTCAACATGCACGTCAAGCGCAGCCACAACGGGGATGTCGAACAACAGCCAATCACTTGAAATGCCCTTATCAAATAGAATATATCTGTTAAAGTGTACGGCTATGCAGATATGACTTCACTAAATGAGCATAGGACGTAAGGTGATTACCAAAAATCCGCTATAGTTTCAAGACGTCAGAAAATGTACTTTAGGAAAATGTCACAAACGCGAAAATGTCATCAGTTAACTATACTTAACTTGAGCGACGTGTGCAAGTTTATAGAAGATAGTTCACATAAGTAAACATGAGACAATATGGCAAACCCACCACCTGCAATAAAGAGACCCAGCATGCAAGCACGCGGCTAGTAGCTCGAATGTAGCGTACCTACAAACGTTGCGCCGGTTCGGTGGTGGCCCCGAGTGGTCTCGCTCATGACTCACTATGCCTGCCTGACTCAGGCACTCGCGACCGCATGTTCTACAGCACCATGTGCTCGATGGAGTACAACCCATCGGCGCTTGCCGCTTCTTCTCTGCATGCATGAGGTCTTTCTCCCGTACCTCGGCAACTGCCTTCGTGATTAGATCGCGCCATGCACGCCGATCAACCGCATTCTAGTCCCATGACCTGCAGTCGAGATTGGAACGTGGGAGGCTCACTTTGATCGTGTCTTGGTAACGAAGCTTCGGTTTCCCCGCATGCCGATTCCCAGTACTCAGCTGACCATATAATAGTTGTTTCGGTATCCGCGTCGAATCCATACGCCACACATGATCGAGCCACCTCAGGTGTCTCAGCAAAGTATGCGGTCCACTGCATACATTCCGCTTCGGCACAGCACTTCCGTGTTTGCAACTCTGTCGCACCAACCGATGCGCAGAATCCGTCGCAAGCACTGCTGATGAAACCGCTCGAGATACTACACATCCCGTCGGTACATCGTCCACGTATTACTGCCGTATAGAAGAACGGATAGCACCATGGATTAGTACACCATCAGCTTCCTGCCAACGATAAGCTGATAGTTGTTCCACACTCGGTACTCTAGCTTCCCAAATGCCGCTGCTGCTTTACAGACGAGGATATGCAGCTGTGTAGCTGCTGGTCAGCCGACACTACACTCCCAAGTTAGAAGGAGCGGGAGCTAGTTTCCAATACTTCAGCACCAATGCAGATTCGCGGCAATATTGAAGATTGCACCTCCGGTGAAGGCTGAAAGAGACGGACAGTTTTGCTAGTGTTGATGGTGAGCCCGAATTTGGCCGCTGTCGTAGCCAGAGCACTAGTCATGTGCTGCAATTCATCCGCGCTGTGTGCAAACAACGCATAGTCGTCAGCAAACAGCAATATACGAACAGTTGTCTCACAGACTAGGGTTCTCGCACCGAAACGACGGATGTTCAGCGACCCACAATCAGTAGGGTGCTCCACACGAACACCTTAAGCACAAGACATCATGGCATGAAGATAAATACTAAACAGGGCAGGAGCTAAGACACAGCCTTGCTTCGCACCAGTGAAAACTGCAGATCCATCCGAGGTCTGTCTATTCAGCTGTACCCTTGCCCGCATATCGCTGTGCAGACATTGAAATAAACTTACAAACGCGGGAAACCAAGCGTACCCAACCTCAGCCACAATGCCTCGTGATTCACCGTACCAAATGTCTTGGTGAAATCAATAAAAAGCGAGTGCAACGGCTGATCTCTTTCTCCGCACTTATCCTCCAACTGAGGAGCCACAAACACCATATCGATGGTGCTGCGACCTGAACTGAATCCACGTTGCTCTCCCGCCACGTTCGGTTCCACAACCTGTTTGACGAAGCGGTTGAGCAGGATTCGGGCAACCACCTTGCTCGCATAACTCAGCAAGTTAATGCCACGATAATTCGTACATTGCTCGCTCCCTTTGCCCTTGTACAGGGCTTCAAGTGGAACGGCGGCTTAATTTAGCACGAATATCGAAAAGAGCTATCAGTGATATTTTATATTACTGATAGAATCCCAGTAGCTCGAAAACAACAAACTGTATAACTTCACCTGTAGCACAATCCCCTCGGGTTTAATGCGGGTTTCCGTCATTCTTTACCACGCTCCGTCGCACTGCTGGAAGCATTCTTCCACGATGCTC